GGGTGTCTGGAGGAGTTTCATTGGGGGTTCAGTGTTGATGGTGTGCTGGAAGAGGCCAGAGGCCTTGAACCTGACCAACAACACATTGCACAATGAACATTTTCAAAGAAAGCTGTTTGGACAAAAGGGTATACTAAATGTTAACACAGCAGCTCCCAGTTCCACTAAGATAAATGGAGAGACAAAGATGGAGGAGCCAAGTGTTTTGTTTTGTTTAGTTTTGTTTGCTTGGTGGTTTGTTTTATTGGTTTGTTTGTTTTTTAATTGAAATTAATATTCTCATTTGTATTTTTATTTTATTTATTATTATTTCTTCTTTTTAAATCTGTATCTCAAGTTCTTGAGTAGTGACATCAGAGAAAGAGGTTAAAATCCAATGTCATGTGAGATAATACATAACTTACAGCTCCACAACTCAGCCTTGAGGAGCTATCTATGGAGTTTTTCCCTTCCATGTGCAAACTCGACCCCTAATGTGATCTCTTATCTAGGCTCTTCATCCCATACTGTCCTGGGGCTGTGAAACAGGCTTACGTGTAGACAAGCACTCTACAGCAGCATATCCCACCCCGATCACAGCCCTCCATCAAGGCAAAGGCTGTGAGAAGCCAATGGAGTCAGGAAGAAAATTCACTCTACCTTCAAATGCCAGAGTGACTTTGGAAGTGTCATTTTATCTCATTGAAACTCAGATCCCCAGTTTTGTAGCCCAGTCTGTTTGTGGGATCCCTGGCAGTGGGACCAGGATCTATCCCTTGTGCATGAGTTGTTTTTTTGGAGCCCATTCCCTATGATGGGATGCTTTGCTCTGCCTCGATGCAGTTGGGAGGGGCTTGGTCCTGCCTCAGTTTAATGTGCCAGGCTTTGTTGACTCCCCATGGGAGGCCTCATCCTTTCTGAGGAGTGTATCTGGGTGGATTGGGGGAAGTTAGGGGGAAGCAGTAGGAGGGGAGGGATAACTACAGTTGGTATGTAAAATGAAAAATAAAAGAAAAAAGAAAAACAAAACAAACAAACAAAAAGATTATCAACTAGTACCTACATCGGACAATTGAGCAGAACACAGAAGCTGTTGTTGTCACGAATCAGTGCTAGAATAGGTAGAGTGTCTGTGAGAACTTGCCTTCTTTTCTTTTTCCTCTCCTGTCTTAATGAAGAACTTTGAGAATTGCTGATTGAGGATCAGTAGATACTATTTCAGTTTTTGAAGAGGCAAACAAACAAAACATGATGTATGAATCTGCCTTTTGGCTATGATCTTTTTTGTTAAAAATTATTTGAGAATTTCATACACAGTTATTGGGTTAGCCTCATTTACATCCCCTCTCCCCACTCAACTCCTCCCCCAGTTTCTCTCAAATTTATGATCTCTTCTCTGGATATACTTTGGACAAATATATATATATATGTATATATATATATATATGAAATATATATATATTTATATATATATAGAAATATATATATATATTTCTTTCATATATATATATATGAAAGAAAGAAAGAAAGAAAGAAAGAAAGAAAGAAAGAAAGAAATTTAGGCCCTTGTTTTGAAACACAGGAATAGTAAGAACCTCTAAGTATATGAGAATACTTTCAGATCTGAGAAGCGAGGTTATCAGTGTGGTAAAGTTCTAGGAATTCAATGATCACCACAGCTTGCACAATGAACAGCTGCTGAGCCTCATGAAGGGCCTCAGTTCCATCGCCAGTGACTGAACTCAAGCATGATGGACAATAGTGTCTCTTCCAGACCCAGCAATGCACATACTTCCTTTGCAGCAGGGTCTTGCAATACTCATGGTCCGGACATCCATTTAAACAGAATTTTTCTTCTAGAGTGCAGGCTTGGTTGGACTACTTGGCTTCTGTAGTGCAGCAATGCCAGCATACAGCTGTCTAGACCTTGCCTGTAACCAGCTCCCCTGGTGTCAGACCCAGAAGTCAGGCTCACACTGGGTTTTGTAGGGACAAATGACTGCTGTCTTGGATACTGCTGCCATTTCCATAGCATACATTTGAAAAAAAATCATGGCGCAGAAGTATGCTTCCATATCCAGCACAGGCTGGCAGGCATGTGCATTTGAGGCTCCTCAGTATACGTGGAAAGGCCACCAAGTATCTGGAACTTCCAGACTTGGAATTATGGGTCTGAAGCACTCAGATGGGAGGACCAGGTACCCAAATGACCAACCACAAGCTCCAAAAGCCCCGATCTGCTTCTAATGAGCCCAGATCATTATAAGCTCTGTCTAGTTATACAGGCACAAAAGTTGCATACACTGAATATTATTTCTTTCTGTTTAATAGATAATTACAATTTCACTTGCAATTAATTTGCAAATAATGGCACCTATCTTATCTTTAGCTCTTATTATTCTGAAATTGTGCTATTGTACAAATTACTTATTAGTTGCTTTTTAAAGGGTAGAATTGTGAGCTATGCGACTATTAATCTCATGTATATTCCTCTTTTCTGTCATCAAAAGACTCATTCATTACCATTACTTAAAATGCCAGTAGTAACCCCAGTCATGATTTAGGGTTCATCAGTTTACAACATAATTTCACATTTATATATATTGATAATTTTTGTCAAGTTGGTGTAAATTGAAGTCACCTGGGGAAAATGAACCAAAACTGAGGAATTTCAATCCATCCAACTGGCCTGTAGGCAAGTCTGGGGGGACATTTTCTTGATTAACAGTTGATATGGGAGGACCCTGCCCACTGTGGGCAATGCTACGCTCGGGCAGGTGGTCCTAGTTTGTGTAAGAAAGCAGGCTGAGCAAGCCATGAAAGCAAAATAATAAACAGTGTTGCTCCTCCATGGTCTTTCATTCAGCTTCTACCTCCAGGCTCCTGCTTTGAGTTCCTGTCCTGACCTCCCTCCATGACGGACTATAATTTGTAATCTGAAATAAATGCTTTTCACCCCAAATTGCTTTCAAGAGAACCAATCTTAGGAGTACTCTTTTTCAAAGATGAATTCTGAAGTTCAAACTCCATACACTTGTATGGCAAAATCTTTCCTGGCTTTGCTACCTGCACAGCCCCTTGATGCATATGATAGCATGACTATAACCAGCTGGTATAAGCAAAGGTCATGACCACTTAAAGATAAGGAAATTGAGGCTTATTAGACATGTAGTCAGTCACATGTTGGAGCAGTGTCTTTGTCCCTGAGGATAAGAACGGTGACTATATGGTTCTCATCTTGCCAGTACCACCCTGATGAAGGTGGTCTATAAAGAATGAACATGTAAATTTAGCAAATGCCCAGTGGCCTTCAGAATGACCTTAAAAGTTGTACATTAAGACATGAAAGCAGGAGGAATACTAGTTGGGAAGGAGGGGGGCTAGCATGACTTGGGGGCAAAGAACAGGTAAGAGGGTGAGGTGAGTATGATCACAATACACTCAATATATGTATTACATTGTCAAAAATAAACCTTACCTTATTCTCATCAAATAAGAGCTGTGTTTCCAAGCCCCTAGAATAACCCTCCACTTAGTCTCTGCACACCCTTGGTGCTCCTTTATTGCCCAAGACAGCTGTCCTCAGCCATTACCTCTAATCCTGGATCAAGATCCCTGGGAGGGATCAGTGTTTGGTTAATGGAGGAGGAAGCAGGCAAATGCTGACCAGCCCTACTAGAGAACAACACCATCAGGCTTATAGAATTCAAACCAGCACAATCCGGTCCACCCCGTGCAGGTTTCCCCAGCTTGGTCCTGGGATGCACTCCTGGCTTCAGATGCAGAAGTGTCCTACTCTGTCCCCATGAACACAAGGATGGAGTATGTTGCTCTAGGGGAGTGGAAACCTGGAGACGGGCATGGTTTGGGTGATGTATCACCCAATCTTCATGAATCAGTGACACTTTCTGAAAAAAAAAAATGGTCAGGGCTTCCCTTTCAAGTTGTCATATTTACTACAGAACCTGCTTTGTTCTCCAAAGGGGGCATACTCTGGAGACAGACAATCAATGATAGTGATGGAAGAGTTAAACAAAAGCTATAAATATGCACCAGCAGGAGTACTGTGAGCTGGCTGCCAACCCTAGGGGCAATCTCATATGATGGGGACAATCTGGAAACATGAGAGAGGAGGCAGATGACAGTTACAGGGGACAGTCAGAGTGTAGGTGATAGAGAGGAAGCAATAAAACAGAAAGGCTTGCACTAAGTCAAGTGTGATGGGAAATGTCAGGTCCATGCTTTTGACTAGAGACTATGCTAAGAGCAAGAACACAGTGGGAGTTATATCTGTCCCATTACCTGCAAGTCAGCAAACCTTCCATACCACCAGGACACTAGAGTTCTGAGAAGGACTCCAGTAAAGCAGGAAAAGGAAGCTCTCCTTATTCCTGTGACTCCTGCCATGAATTTTCTTCTTTTTCCAATGGGAAAGAAATTGGGAATTTCTAGTTTGCTTTCTCTATGAAGACTGAAATTCGGAGTCCTGGACATGGCAGATTGCAACTATCCTGGCTAAAATATGGATGCCTAAGACATTATCCACATGCACTGCCTGGTTCATAACTGAGAAACAGGGCCAGCACCATCTGTCAGTCAGGGATTAGACGAAGGAGTGACATATCCTAAATCACTAGATTCTTGTCTGCATGGTTATCAGGCATCTACCTAGTCATTCCTGGTGTTTCCAGGGCTGACTCCTCAGAGCTACTCACTGTGCTTCCAGGGTGTTCTTCACAGGGAGCTTTGGGAAATATGGATGAAATTGGAGAGAGGATAATGGAGGCCCAGAACTTTGACTATTTGATTTTGTTTTGTTTGTTTCCCTTCCAAGAACCACTTCTCTGTCACCTTTCTTTCAATTAGGGATTTGTTGTTGGTAACAAATTCCACCAAATTTTTCTTCATACAAGCTGCTTCTGGAAAGAGCTCTCTAGTCTGCAGAAATATTGTACTCTTTTTTTTTTTCCCAAAATGAAGAAAAGAATCATGGCATGCTCTGGTTTTTGACATAACACAACTGTTGTTCCAAAGGAAATAGTTTATTCTTAAACATAAGTGACCATGACCTGATAACAGATTCAGGGTGCCTTAGGTAGCATGTTCCAACATGGGGGTTACAGACTCAGAACAAAAGACAAATCACCCCTACTGGACATTCTGATAAGACATAATGCAGGTGGGTAATAGCAAGACAGGGAAATCTCGGCTATGAGTCTCAGATGTACTCTGATGACAAACTCATCTTTTAAGTTGGTACAAGCTAGCCATGTCAAGCTTAGCAATATTCCAACTTCAATCTACAAGTCAATATGGCGTTAATTCAGATACCCTGGTAGAGGATAAATGGCTATTAAAAGTACTAAAGATAGCCTGAGGTCATTTTGGCTCTCACTGTAGCATTCTACCTCTGCAATCATGGTGTTAATAATCAGTCAGCCTTCAGAATATCTTCAAAATGTGAGTATTTTTAGGCAAATGCAATTAACATTGTCTGCTACTTTGGGAGTACAGCATAAATGGCCACCCTCTATTACCCCTTCACCATTGTGCGTTCCTCAGTGTGTATAAGGTCTGGTGAGCAGGCTTTCAGTAAGGGATGGATTATTGGCTGCTGCTATGATGACAGAAATTCAGGCCACTCAAGAATCTTCATTGTGAGAAGTTACCTGTCACTCAGCCTGAGAGAAGCCCTGATGTGTCTCCCACTAACCAACGGTGATCTGGCAGGTGGTGCAGACTACATTGGGAAAGACAACTGACTTAACAAATGATGCTGAGTCCACCGAACTGTCTACAAAGGCGTGTGTGTGTGTGTGTGTGTGTGTGTGTGTGTGTGTGTGTGCATGAGCATGCAAGCATGAGCACATGCACAAACACAGTTAACAATTACATTCCTCTTGTGGCCCAGAGACAGTGACTATGAAGTATGGCAGGAGAGAATTCAAAGGAAGGTATTGCTACTGTGAAAGCTAGGCTGAAATGACTAATACTTTCACGTTAGATATTGCTGTGAACTGTGGAGGATAGGAGTTTCTACAAGTCAGTATGAAGGATTCTTTCCTTTGGCCTTGCTTCTCATATCCACAGGGCCACTGGGTTCTTACTGTTAAGTGAAAATTCCACGCATGATCATGTCAATCCCTTTCTCACCACCTGTAAAATACTACCTATTCAGAGCAGAAAGTATTTTGTTGTTGTTTGAATAAAAATGGAAACCATCAAGGACATCACAAGAAAACCCACAGGATCAACTAACCTGTGCTCATAGGATTTCACAGATGCTGAACCAACAGCCAGGGAGCCTGCATGGAATTGACCGAGGCCCTCTGCATATATGTGACAGTTGCGTAGCGTGGTCTTCTTGTCGGACTCCTAACAAATGTAGCAGGGGGTACCTTTTGCTGGCTTTTGGGACCCTATTCCTCATACTGGATTGATTGCCCAACCTTAATACAAGGGGAGGTGCTTCATCTTACTGCAACTTGATATGCCATGCTTTGTTGATATCCATGGGAGGCCTGCCCTTTTCTGAATAAAAATGGACGAGGAGTTGGATGGGGAGGTGGCAGAGTGAGAGTGGGGAGGGGAGAGACTAGAAGGAGGAGAGGGAGGATAAACTGAGGGTGGGCTGTAAAATAAACTAATAAATAATAAAATTGAAACCACATCTGGTTGGGAGGTGGGGCAGGGATAGCTCAGTCTATAAAGTATTTGGCTTAAAAGCACAGGACCTGAGTTCAACCCCCAGAATCCAGATTAAGAAAACTTGGGTGTGGTGTTGTGTACTTGCAACCTCAGCACTGGGGAAGTAGAGACAGGCAGATTCCTGGAGCTTTCTGGCCAGCCAGCCTAGCCTAATGGGAGAGTTTCAGGCCAGTGAGAAATTGCCTCAGAAAAAGAACATGGAGTGAGGAAGGTACCTGAGGAAAACAGCTGAAGTTTACCTCTAACTTCCATGCATGCGTACATACATGTGTGCATACACACACACACACACACACACACACACACACACAAAGACCATTTAAGGCCTCATAAACCAGGCAATTCCAAAACAAGAACTTAGAACTTGTCTAAGTTAACAGCAGTGGTATCGGAAAGTGGGGGGTGTGGGGGACACGTTGAAAGGAATAATTTTCAATAAACAGATATGTTCTTGAATGCTTGAATAAAGAACAAGACTTCTATGACTTTGCAGGCTCCTGGACATGCAAAATATCCCCTAGGATCTCAGGCCTGTGTAAAGTACTGCTGAGCCCAACTCATTGGAAAGGGACCTCCTAGTCATAAGAAGAAGACCATTGCAAGTGGCAGCTCCAACCATGGTGGAAAGGGCCCGTAATTAAAGGGAAGCAGCCGTGGGTCAGAAGGTGAGATGGAGAAGAAAGGAGGTGGGGCTGGGCTGGGCTGAGCCTTAGATGAATCAAGCCTTCGTGTAGGGTGGAGACATCCTGTCTAAAATACATATGAGTGCCATTAAATCCTCTATAAAAGGTTCATGTCCCCACTGACAAGTACTCTACACACTGCTTGACAGAAACTTGTCCCATCCTGCCTGGGCATTAGGTAAGTTCCTTCCAGAAAAAATTCTTGCTCATTCTCAGTGTCTTGGCAAGCTGAACTCATGAATCCAGGGCTGTCAGATCTGAGCTGTTAGGTCTCAGTGGTGAGCTGGAGGCAGGAAGGGCCCCACAGAGCCCCTGGCTTGCTGAAGCCAGAGCACTTGGGAAATGCGCTGCTTCTGAGGCAATCCAGCTTTCTCCTCTCTCTGGCTCTAGCCTGCAGCTCTTCCCACGGGATGATGTGGGCAGCAACAATGGAACCACCCACCACCCACGCACCTTCCTGGATCAGCGTAACTTTTTTTTTCCCTAAGGTTATGGAAGGTTCTTTGCAGTGCTCAGAGCCTGTGGGATCAGAAGCAGTTTGTTCCTACCAATGCAGACAATAAACTTGTCTTATGGAGAAAGGGGCCAATATGAACTTCCTTCCTGATTCTAAATTTTTACATAGGCAAGCTAAATTTGTAGATTTATTCTAAGAATCTGAATTGTTACTAAAAGGACATTTTGGTCTTTTCACTACTAATAGGTCAGCGATTAAAGACTGTCATGTACACGGGGGTGTTTTCCATCTGTGTCAAGGGATATATTTGAAGTTATATGCCCTGAAGCACACAGAAGGAAGCGTCTAAGTTACTGACTCCTGGGTCAGTAGAAAAGTTGCCCCTGTACAGCCCACCTGGGGTCTAGACTTCCTCAATCCTCTGACCACACTCACCTGCTTTTCCCTGAACCATACCTCCTTCCTTCCCTCACTCCTTGCTTCTCTATGCCATCCTCTCCCTACAATCCTCCTCCTCATCTCAAAGGTCCCTTCACTGGTTTTCCAGATGCTGCAAGCTTCCATCTCTCTTTGTATTTCAACCTTTCAGTCTTTGGCACCTCTCCTCCTTCTGCTCTCCCCGAGTCTTCTATTTAACATATTTATGCCTCTTGCCCATTCAGTCACACTCATCTTCAACTTCGCCTGCTTAAAAATTTTGTCTAGGAACCATCCATCACAGGTCATCAGCCCTTTAGATTTGATAGACCATGTGTCTTTTACAGAAGCTGATCTCTCTTACAGGTTCCAGGACTGAGGACAGAGTATCTTGGCACCAGAAAGGCACCCCCAAACCTAGTATCCCCAAAAGATGCATCCTATCCTCTTCCTGAATCCCTTCTCCAGGAAAGTTGAGAGGGTAGGGCTGGATCCTTAGAGCTCCAAGCCAAAAGGGGCTAACCCCTGTTTGTACTTAATACCTTCTGATGTCCCCAGTAGGACACTACCACCCTAGAAACAGGCAAAAAAAAAATTCCATTCAAAGGTATAGTCTAAAGAACTAATTGGATACGGGTTAAAAGAAAATAATGTGTGACCTTCACAAATCTACCTCTTCTGAGCTCTTTCCCCACCTATGGAAATACTAGTTATAATAAGGGGCATAAGCTATGCTACACAGGAAAGTGCTTTGTGAGCAGTTCAGCGTCTATAGCTGTACACAAATTATATATGTGTAAATGTGTGTAATAATAATGATGATGATACTTAATAGCTACCACTTAGCATAAACCAGGCATCAGCAGGGTGCCTTTTATGAATTATCTTCTAAAGCCTTTATGATAACTCTCTGAAGTGAGTGCTAAGTATCAGCTTCCTTCACAGTGAATCCACTGAGGCTCGGAAAAGAGAAGCATGTTGGTCCAGCTCACATCAGGCAGGTGGTGAAGCCTGGCATTAAATGTTGACTCAAAAATATCCTTCCAAGTCCTGAGGGTTCCTCCTTTCCACGATAAAGTACATTTTGAGGAAAAGATGGAGGAAGGTAGAGAAACCCCAAATAGAAAGGACTAAATCACAGAGTACTGTGAGGAAAACGCAGGGTTAGGGTTAGGGTTAGGGTTAGGGTTAGGGTTAGGGTTAGGGTTAGGGTTAGGGTTAGGGTTAGGGTTAGGGTTAGGGTTGTCTATGTTGCCCATACAGGGGCTTTCATGTCTTCCAGCTTAGCTGCACAAATGCCTCAGTTGCTGCAAAACATTCACGGGATCATCGAAGCCTTCGGATGCTATGCCAGGTCAGAGGGTGACTGCAAAGTGCTCACTCGTGGGGAGCTGAAGAGGCTCCTGGAACATGAGCTTGCTGACGTCATAGTGGTATGCTATGGGGGAATGAGAGGGAGAAACGTGATAAGCATAGCCAAAGCATGTTTACCTGCAAGGGCTCTTTCCTGGGGAATACAAAGGACAAGCAGCCAAATTCAAGTCTGCTAGCTCTGCTGGTAGTTGTGCAGGCAGACATGGCAGGCGACACATCCTGGTTCTTAGAGAAAAGACTGGTGCTTTGATCTCATTCTCTCTTTAAATTAATTTTAATTTCAAGACAATGTAATGAAAGACTCCAAGGGGACATTTCAGGCAAGAACCGACTCTTCAAATGGCCTAGAAGGGAAAGTAGTCACCACTTTCCGGTGCTTCTCAAATGTGACACAGTAACATTCCCTATACCGTTCTGAAATGTGATTGCTTATTAGCATCCGTTAAGAGGTTGTTCCTGCCTTGCACAAAGCAGCTGCTTAGAAATATTAGCTCACTTTTCAGGTCAAAAATGAGACTTTGGAGCACTAGTTCTGAACAGCTGTGGGTGCAGGAGACTCTGAGAGATCAACCCAACCAGCAAACCAGAACCAGAGCCCCAATGCACTTCGTTGCCTTAACATCTAAAGCAGATGGAATAATGAAGTCCTTAAGTACTAGGATGGTGCCTGCATACTTAGAGCAGCCTGTTGTCCTACTAGGATTGCCCATCATGGGAACTCTCTGGATTCCCATGGGGCTGGGTTCCTGCTGTGCTTCCAGTGGGGTTGGCACCAGGGGCAAAGGCCACGGACAGTCACAAGAAGGAGCCAGGAGCCCAGACCATTGCATACAAGCACATGTGTTCCGTCTTCAGCATATCTTTACCCAGTGAATCATCCTGCAGATCTGAAATCGAGGATATATAAACAAAAGGTGCTTCCTACCCTGGAGTAAGAGAGCTGCTACAACAAAAGACACAATTACACTGTGATGCTATGGGCAGTGCTGTGGGTCTGAGAGCCCCCAGTCTGCAGTGGGGTGAGGGAGCCTAGAAACTGAATGCAATGGATCTGACCTTAGAGGAGCAGTGCTGACATGGCTCCATCTCTCCTCCAGAATCCCCATGATCCCTCCACGGTGGATGAAGTCCTGCGCCTGTTGGATGAAGATAACACAGGGACTGTAGAGTTCAAAGAATTCCTAGTCTTGGTGTTTAAAGTTGCTCGGGCCTGCTTTAAGACACTGAGTGAGAGTTCTAGGGGTGCTTGCATGTCCGACATGTCTGAATGCTGTTCTCCTGGGTCCTCGAAAGAGCTGGAACAAGGCCAGAGAGGTGGCACTGGAGGGGGAAGGGATGGAGCAGAGCAGTGCTTTGAGGACAGCAGCAGTGGACAGAGGGATCAGGTGTCTAAAAAACAGGTCAGGGTAGGGACACACACCCAAAGTCAGGACAGCTACCCTACACAGGGTAGCAGTCACGACAGGGAGCTTGAGTCTCAGAGACAGGAGATGGTAAGCCAGCAAACACAAGTGACAGGACAGGTGGCGCAGACCCCGAGAAGAGAAGACAAGACTTGGACCAGAGAGAGGAGGTCAGAGATGCCGTCACAGATTAGCCAACAGACAGAGGAGGCCGCAGCTGGACCCACAACTCAGACCCAAGGAGGCCAGGACAGAGGAACTAACAGCCACAGCCAAGACAGGAGCCAGGCAGACCAAGCTGCTACACAACACTACCAGACACAGACAGGGTCTCATACTCAGATACACACCCAGACGGTAGAACAGGGCTGGAGGCAGCAGACAGGAAGTGACAGAATCCAGACACAGGGATCCATCTATGAGACTCAGGGCCAAGATAGGAACCAGGCAGGCCAGGCTGCTGAAGAACACCAACAGGAAAAATCATATACTCACACCCAGACCACAGAACAAAGCAGGAGTCAGCAGGCAGAAAATAGCAGCATCCAGACACCTGGGTCCATCTATGACCAAAACAGAAGGACTGAGATCCATGGGCAAGACAGCAGTCATGCAGAACAGGTAGGGGCAGGACACTTCCAGACACAGACTTTGGAGCATGATAGGAACCAGTCTGCAGGTCGGGTAGGGGCTCCAGAAAAGGGACAGGCTCAGATACAGTCAGGCATAGTGCAAAGCTGTATACCAGAAAGCAACTATGAAACAGAAGAGCCAGGACTAGGAGGTCAGGTTCAGTCTAAGACAAGCACTGTGAAAGAAAGACCAGACTGGAGCAGTAATCACCCAAGTCCAAAGGGAGGGCAGGGACAGAGGGTACCCACTGTGATTAGAGATGAGTGGGTCAATGACCACACGAGGGAAATAGTGATCCGTAGCCAGGATCCGGGTAGCCTGCACTCTCGTGCTCCCTCGGCTCAGGGCCAGGATGCAGCACGGATGGAGGAGAAGAAAGGAATCGAAGCCAAGGGGCAATATTCCTACTTGAAGACAGACCAGCCATGACTTCCCCTGACTCCAGTGCCCAGTGCCAAAAGACAGCTGAACTCACTCACTACCCTGCCCTGCCCTGCTCTGCCCTGGAACATTGATGGGCAGCCATGATTCTTCTCATTTGGTTCTTTCTCAGTGGTCATTTCTACAGGGTGCTTCCTTGTCTAAATTCATTTCTCTTGCCTGCTTTTCTGTGCAGACACTCTCAGAAACAGGAAGGCATAGACGAGCCCATCTCTTTGCACTGAATTCCCTTCATATTTCAGGGGTTTACAGAGCTTTTTATCTCTGCTATCTGTCCATTCCATCCAAATGCATCAATAAAAGCTTAAGTTCTATTGGATAATTTCTACTGACGTGACCAACTGCAGTCTCTCGAGTGCGGACGCTGACTTGAACATAGTCCATCACTCAAGGAACACAGGAGAGAACATGTGATTCTGAGAGTTTCAGAGAGCTGAACAGAGGAGAGAGAGCATATTTTGTACTTGGCAGAGAGGAGTCAGGGGTTGCCTTCTTCTGTGGGAGCTTTCTGTGATGGCCCTCAAAGGATCACAGTATCTTTTTTTTCTCTTATTATTATTATTATTATTATTATTATTATTAATTCACCCACCCCATCCACCCACCACTCCCCAGGCAGGGTAGGGCCCCCAACCGGGGCTCCACCAAGTCCACCAAATCTTCCTGTGCTGGGCCTAGGTCCCTCCCGATGTGTTCAGAGACAGAGTGCATCCCTTCAAGTGGGATGGGCTCTCGAAGTCCCCCACACACACCAGGGCAAAATGCCAGTCCACCTCCGGAGGCTCCCAGGTGAGGTTACTACTAAATGCAGGAAGACCCTCAGGGGCTGTGCTGGGAAGGGAAGAAGGCATGTTTTACCAGAGGCTTAGCCAGGAGTAAGAGGCCCTGAGTTTCACCCCCACCTCTGTGCCAACACTTACCATCCTATTGCCCCACTCAGTGGGGTTTCAGCAAGAAGACACAGGGCAGAAACTCTCTGCTAGTCTTTCTTTGAGAATGACCAGGGAGGTAAGGGATTTTTTGTTTTGTTTTTATTGGTATGTGTATGTGTACCACACAGGAGCTTTCAGAGGTCAGAAATAGGCATTAGATCTCCCTGAAAATGGGGTTATGGATGGTTGTGAGTTGCCATGGGGTGCTGGGAATCGGACTTGGTCTTCTGCAAGAGCAGTAAGTACTCCTAACCACTGAGCCATCTCTCCAGTCCAGGAAGGTAAGAGTTTCAAACCCTCAGCCTAAAGAGTCCCACTCTTTGGAGTGAAACTTGTGACTAATATTTACAAACTTAGGAGTGGATACTTATATCACAGAATGGATAGTCTGGAAGCTCTTCCACAAGTATGCAGAAAACCTATTTTTTCACTTTGATGTCAGTTTGTGAAAATTTCTAAGAATAAAACAAAATCTGGTAGGCTGAATACCTCCAAAGATGTACCTCGACCAACACTAGACACCTGTGAATATTTCTCCTTGTATCTCTAAAGGGGCTTTGCAGGACACTGAGGTGGGGTTGATTCTTGCCTGAATGAGCTCTGTATAATCACAAAGGTCCTTATAAGAGTGAAACAAGGGGTTCAATGGTCAGTGAGAGATATGATGGTGGGACCAACAGTTAGAGCTTTGGTCAAAGGGCAAGGGATACAAGTAGACTCTCAAAACTAGAAAAGGAATTTCCCAATGACCCTCAGAAGGAATATAGTCCTTCCAGCACCTTGATTGTAGACTAGACCTCTGCCCCCTAAGGCTGTAGGAGTAAAAGTTTTACTGTAGTTTTAAATTATTAAATTTGTGTTTATTTGTGACAGTAGAAATAGAAAATGAGCAAAAAATAAAATCCATCACCAAGGGCAAGTGTAAGTATGTGGGGAAGGCAGGGCTGGTCTTTGTGAGGACAAATTGAGATCCTATCCATCCACATAGGACTTTGAGTGTAAAGGCCAAGATAGATAGCAAGGAACTTGAAGGACCCAGGAAATGTCACTGCAACAAATTCTTCTTGTGGAATAAACACAGACAACAAGCCGGAATCACAGAAACATTTGGCATACAATCTGATAATTCATGTTTATTTATTTATTTTGGTTTTTTTCTTGGATTTTTAATGGTTTTTCAAGACAGGATTTCTCTGCATTGCTTTGGAGGCTGTCCTGGAACTCTATAGACCAAACTGGCCTTGAGCTCACAGAAATCCACCTGCCTCTGCTTCCCGAGTGCTGGGATTAAAGCAAATGCCACCAATGCCCGGCCTGATAACTTATGTTTAAATATATCTAATTTCAGAACTAAGACAGCATGATGTGGACAAGGTGACAGAACAGCATCTAATGTTATGTGCTATGAAAATATAAATATAAGCAGATAACAAAAAGAGCTTACAGAAAGCAGAGTTAGGGAGCTGGTTGCCTCATGCAAGTTCACACTTACAAGGGAAAACTAGGAGTAAAGGAATTTCACTTCAAATTAGACAGTGAGAAGGGGGAAAGGAGGTGTATGTGAAAAGAAATATGTAGTTTTTAAAACTTCTACTATTTAGACTAGAGAATGCATAGATAATAGGTAAGGGGAATAGGGAATATGTCATATGTAATGACACACTGCAACAATAATGACAAAATAAATGGGTGAATGAATGTTCTGCAACACCAAAAGACAGTTCAGAAATAAAGCAAATAAAACAGAAACACAAAGAACAATGTTACTGTGCACACCACACATTTCTATAAACGTGAAACAAAAATACTATGAAAGGAAAAGCATCTGGTACAATTTATAATGGTGTAAAGGGCTTCTCTCACTATTGAAAGAACAACTTTTCATATTAGGTTAATCTGATAAAAAGAAATAGAGAACAAGAGCTAGCGGGAGGAAGGGGCTTAGAAAATAATATTTTAAATGGGGGAGTTAGTAATTATCGGGAAAATATAGATTCAAACAAAAATTTAAAAGCTGAGGTCAAGATCTTGATCCCAGATTAGGTCATAAAACAAAAAAGGCCAAGAAGGGCCTAGAAGGGCTCTCTGGCTCCTTTTCCATGATGCCTTCTAGACAGAGTTGTGTCAAAATGAAGCTGAGCATCTCCTTCCTAGCCACTGAAACTCACTCAAGTGGATGATGAACACAAACTTCAGACTTTTTACAAGAAGTGTGTGGGGGCAGAAGTAGCTTCTGATGCTCTGGGTGACGAGTGGAAGGGTTATATGGTTCTCTTCAGTGATGGGAATACCAAGCAGGGTCTTCCCCTGAAGTAAGGTGTCTGGAGCCACAGCAGAGTGCTCCTGCTGGTGACCAAGGAGAACTGGAGAGAGGAAGCTAAATCTGTTTGGAGATGCATTGTAGATGACAATCTGAGCAAAGAGGAGGAATATTCCTGACCTGACAGACACTACTGCACCTGTTATTGGGACCCTAAAGAACTAGCAGAATCTATAAACTTTTCTAATCGCTCTAAAGAAGATAACCATCACCTATATGTTGTCCAAAAACCCTTAAACACAGAAGGTAAGAAATCTAAAGCAAGCCCAATTCAGCATCTTGTGTCCTGCAACATATATGCCATTGTATTGCTTTAAAGAAACAACACATTAAGAAAAATAAAAACGAGGCAGTGGAATATGCCAAATTTTGACCAAGAGAATTAAGGACACCAAAGAAAAATGCCAGGAATAGATTTCCAAGAGATGTCAGCTGTCCTCGCTGAGAGCTTCTATGTCTGAGTCCAGTCAAAACGTCCAGTGCTGGGGCTGCAGATGCATGCCAAAGTACCTGACTTTTTGTTTTAAACAGGTGCTGAGGATATGAATCAGGTTCTCATTTTTTGCATGGCAAGTGTCTCAATGACTAAGCCATCTTCCCAGGCCCTACATAAAGAACTATTTCTTTTAAGTAAGTTTTTATATGAACCAAGTGTGCTGGTTTGAAGTAAAATTGGCCCCCAAAAGGAGTGGCACTATTAGGATATGTGGCCTTGTTGGAGGAAGTGTGTCACAGTCGGGGAGGGCTTTGAGGTCTCTTTTGTTCGAGCTTCCCTCAGTGGGACAGTCAGTTGATTTCCTGTTGCCTACAAGATGGAGAAGTCTCAGCTCCAGCACCATGTCTGCCGGCTCACCTCCTTGCTCCCCTGCATGATGATAATTGACTGAATCTCTGAAACTGTTCACAAGCTCCCTCAATTAAACATTTTACTCTATAAGAGTTGCCATGGTTATGGTGTCACCTCACAGCAATAAAAACCCAAACTAAGACACCAAATTATTTCATAACCCAACAATGGAATCTAACACCCTAACACATAAAATAGTCAACAGGAGGCCACAAAATATTCTCAGCAACATGACTGCCTAAACAAGGATGACACCACTAGACAGGCCAAAGTGGATGGGGACAGCCCATGAAGTCTCAAAAATGCACATAGAACAATAGGCAACTAAGGATTAAGGAAGGCTGAGAGCAGGAGAAATAGTCTTCCCCAGGGAAGGGCACACTGACGGGTTATGAAATACCAAATTCTCAGCCCTAAAAACACACATGTAAGCGACAGCGTACAGACTGAGCAGGATGTGTTGGGAAGGTATACATATATGGTGTGTTTACATATATGCATGTAACAGCAATTAATGGAAAAAGAGGCATGAATTTGAAAGAGAGCAAGAGGGGTATATGGAAGGATTTAGAAGGCGCAAAGGAAAAGGAGAAACGATGCAACTATAGTATAACTATAGAAATAAAAAAGGTACTTGGGACACGTGCCTGGTGCTTAGTAAAGGCTCAAAAAAGCTACAGTTTGTTACGAAAAAAATATTAATCCATTATTATTCAAAAGAGAAATAATACAAATACGGTTCTCACAGATGCATGAAATACTGATAAATAAGTTGTTGCTGGAAATTAACAGTGACATTTACACCACTAAACAACTCTTGGACAAAGGAAGAGTAATAGAAAGTAAAATTACAGAATTCTTTGGAAATGATAGCTATTAATTGAAAAGCTGGAAAAATACTAAGTCCCCCCAAAATGGAATGAAGAATTAATAAAATTACAAGGAGAAATTAGCAACTAATAATAGAAAAGCAGTCAGCTAATGAGTCAGTAAATAGCTTTCCTTATTACTATTTTAATCAACACAATATAAACTATAAAGAAACTTATTGTTAAGACCAAAAGGGCTACAATGTGCAAATGCATAAAATGAGAAACAGTGATGGGTAAAATACAGAAACCAATAGTACACATAAGAAATTCAATCCTTTGAGTTGATGAGAAAGCTCGGTGGTGGTTAAGATCCCAGCACCCACATCAAATAGCTCACAAACAACAGTGCCAAGCGATCTGAAACCCACTTCTGGCCTCTATGGGCACCTGCACACATACAAATACATAAATAAAACTCACTAAAAGTACAGTCCTTATATATGTATTAAAGACAGCATAGCTTGTTTAACACTTAGAAACTCAAACTATATTGAGAAACCATTTTCACCATCAGTATATGACTAAACCCTAAAAATTTAGGAATAGTGAGAAGACCTCACACCTCCTGGTGGGAACAGAAACTGATACAGCCTGAGGAGGCAAAAGGTTTGTGCAGCTCAACACTGTAAGAGCCTGTCTCCTTCTTGCTCTGTCTGTGTAGGTGAAGAGGCATACACCCACAGTCAATAACTATTTGTTAAAGGAACTAACTGACTTACTTGATCCTTCCTTTCATACACATGAGTTACAATAATCCCTACATAGACCAGTGACTAAAAGCTGGACACAATCCAGCTCACACCTATTACCAAGAAGCACTGGTCTCAGAACTCACATTCCCACAGAGCTTCCAGAATAGGAGGGGGTTAAAGGCCAGAAAGCCCTCTGACAACTGTTTCCTGTTATAAACTGGCAGAGTAAATCTGTGAATGCCAGTCCCAGGATCTGGGCTCTGCAGTCATGGCCACCAGCCCCAGGATCTGGGCTCTGAGGACATGACTGCTGCTCAGAAGGATCTGCTATCAGGCAACTCAGAGTTGGGGTGCCCTCAAAGCTCTGCACTCAGGGTGCCCAGGTGCTCTATCCCAGGCCATGCCCTCTGTTTCCTTTGGGAGTTCACAAGTCTTTCTAGAACTTTTAAGTTTCCATACACATGCCTTTTCCCCAAAGAATGTGCCTATTATTTTAGGCCAAAAGGAAAAAATTTGCAAAAATATACATACTCGGCGGGAATGCAAAATTTACTTGAAGCCAGTGGGATAAACTCTAAAATTTCTCTTGGAGGACAGACTCTTTCTCCCGTGCCATCATCACAGGAGATATAATTCCTGTGACTTTTTCAACTTCCCTATAATTGTGTTTTTAAAGTTACTTAGCTATAAGTAGTACATTTACCTGATTCTAGTATAACTTTGCAACTGCAGTGCACAATCTCAAGGAAAATAAGGCACATTGAAAGTTTCTTAATACTAAATTTAACAGTGAATGAGATTTCTGAGCTTTTATTTCTAAACATTTAAATGCTTTTTAATGCCCATTTTGTGCAGGTAACAAAAAATGGGTCAGGGAAGATGGCTCAGTAAGTGAAATATTACCCATGGAAGCATAAGAACATGAGTTCAGATCCCAGCGTGCACATAAAAACCCAGATGTGATGATCCACACCTGTGACCCTGGTGCTGGGGGGTGGGGCTGGATGGAGACAGGCAGAAGAACCCAGAGCTTGCAGATCAGCCAGTCTAGCCAGTCAGTGAGCAACAGGTTGAGTGGGAAGCCCTATCTCAAAAGCTAAGGTGTAGGACAACAGAGGAAGATAATGGATGTCCACCTCTAGCCTCCACATGCCTGTGCACAAATGCAGACAAACAGCGCATGAACACGTACATTTTCTACACAAACAGCAAACAACTTGCAGCATCCGTGGCAATCGCTGTGGGAGTGGGAGTAGCGCAGCCCGGAAGCATAAACAGCAGAGGCTTTCAGAAACTGTCTTAAGAATTTCCTCTGGGAAAGAACACCTTGTCCCAGCCAGCATCCGGTGCCTTTTTCTGTCACATTGGTGACCACCAGAGCCTCAGACCCGCCTCCACCTAGAGGAGTGATAGAGATGGGTAGACAACAGTGTAAGAATACACTCAACAACATAAACAGCAAACACCTTTTGCATACTTGTAGAAAAACAGTCATCTATTCCTGACGTTGAAACGCTTATAAGCTCCTGTTGCACTGGTCACAGTATGGGAAGTGGCCCTGTCCTCAGGGATACTGAAACTGAGGCCTTTGAAAGTCCAGCAAGCCAGGTAAAGAGGGACGGCAAATTGTATTGCTGCCCCCTAGCGTCACTTAAGAATAGCACCACTAAAATATTCCTGAAGGAACTTTGCTTTTTTTCCGGAGCCAAAAGACCTGGGGGACACAGGAGAAGCTCAGCACTACAGCCTTTAACTGCAGAAGCAGAGGGAATGGCCTGGAAGCATCAGGCATGCTCCACTCCCAGTGTCTCTGAGCAATGGGATTTCAGCTGTGTTTCTCTGTTGAGGAGTGTCCTTCATGCAGCCACTCCCACCACCAAATGGATCCGGGCATCTGCAGAGCCATATCACCTGTAAGGACCTTGGTTGAACTGTAGAGTTATGATGGTGATGCAGGTGACTGATTTTCTCTTCTGGGGAGCATGTGCTTAGAGCAGCTCCTTCAGTGAGCAGGAAGGTAAGCATCCTACAGATTTCCATCCACCGGGTGGAAATGGTGATCTGTATGTTTTTCTCACAGGTCCTGAGTTCTGGATGCTTATGTGAACATGGTGAATTTGTTTCTTAGCACCAGTGTAGACCACACAGTGCTGTGCCACACTCGTCAGCACCCTCTGTTTATATATGAACAGCAGGTAATGAATGCCAACTCCTTTTGCCAGACGCTACATACAGTGAGCAGTGCTGGGGCTGGAGAGGGAGCACCTTCTACCTCCATATTTCTAACTAAGAGGAGGAAAGAAACTAAAGCGACCACATGACTTTCTTCTAGTGTCTGCATAAGTGGCCAGGGGCCGATAGATCCCCAAGTTTTTACTGGGGTCTATAGGTTAGGCTATGGAACATGCTGGAACAGAGGACACTATATTCCCAAGGCAGCACCATTCCCTGCCCATCATGACTTCTTCCACTGCAAGCCTTCTTCTCTTGGCACAGATCATCTTTCCAGGAAAAGAGATTTAACATGGGATGGAAAGAAGAAATGGCAACACATGCCATCATCAGTCTCTGCTCGTCTGTCTGGAAAAGAAAAGTATACTATTTAGAAAACTAGGCAGCCAGATACGACACTAAACACAGGGTTTTGCTGACACTAAACACAGGGCTTTGCTCAAGCTTTCTGTCATTTTGTGTAGAGTATACAGGAACTCAGTCAGGCCATTATTTTAAATGCCCTAAATAACAAGACACAAATTTAGCTGCAAATGAGTATAGATTTATCTCAGGAAAATCACAAAAGACCAAAGAAAGAAAGGAAGAAAGAAGGAAAGGAAATTAACTATTATGCAGAAATAGTTATTGTTATTTAACCCTCCTAGACTTTCCCCATGAAAATTATCATAAAAGTATCACTATGAAAATGTATCCCTATATGCACAAATAAATCTATGAATATCTATAAATTATACATTTGTATGTTAACTATACAAATTACATCTTCATGCAAATTACATGTACATATCTAAACACATACACAGGATATAAACATGTATGCTCATGATTCGTAACAGACTAGCTTCCTATGTTAGTGACTTAGGGCAGGTCGTGTCAGCAGGCTTTGGTGGTTAAGATTCTGTGTTAGGGTGAAAGACTGAGCATTTCCCAAGAGGTGTGCCTCTCATCAGGGGAATTTGTCTTAATAGTTTTGTCTCTATTGTGGAGAAAATAATGGTACGTCTTCATAGGTAGGTGTGAGAATAAATAAAGCCATACACTCAATTCCCAGCAAATGGCATGGTAAGCCCTCAACAAATTCGAAGAATTGAACAGAGCATTCAGGTCAGCCATTTATAAAGCAAAGAATGATTTAAGAAGGAATAGGTCTGATCAGAAAGACTTTGAGCCATGCAGAAGATCATCATAGACTATAATTCCTTGCCATAACAAGAACTTTGGCTTCTAACAGCTGCAATGGCCATGGTTAATTGGGGGGGGGGGTTCAACTCAAAGAAAACCCAAGAATTAGGGATGAACCAGTCCTATTCTACGTGTACATATGCAACACCACCCCTCCCAGGCTGCTCTTCTGTCCACTTGGGCAAAAGCAGGCTAGCACTGCTCCATCTTTCTCCCTCTAGTTGGCTTATTTTCCACAGGATTCAGGGAGGAGGGTGTGAGCAGCTGGAGAGGCTGGTCGATCATTTGCAATGATTGCATCTGACTTACAAATATTCAACAAAGTAGAACAATCTAGGCCACATGGACAAGAAAATTCACTTTTCTCTGTTTGCTTCATAATACGTTTCATCACTTGGGTTTTTTTTCTTCTAAAGCAATTTCAACACACACTGAAAAGAATTCCCACACATGAGCAGATATCTATCTAATTTTTTGAATTAAACCCCAAATATAAATACAAATAAAAATGCTGCTACTCACTGTTTTGTATGTTGTGACTATGAATACTGAATACACACACACACACACACACACACACACATACACACACACACACAGAGAGAGAGAGAGAGAGAGAGAGAGAGAGAGGGTGTTTATTATAACATGAGCCAGGTGTACTCTTCTGTCAAGAAGTTTGCATGTAACTAATGGACACAATAAGAAATACCTTGAGTTAACCATGACCTTTGTCTGTGGACCCCCTAGATGAACCCAGGCTTGATAAAATTCCTGGTGGCTACAGAATAGTCACCATTGATTCTTCAAGTGGCTGTTTGAGCCACCTCCACTGAGGCAGAGAGATGTGTTGCTAATTGGACTCTGCTCACCACAGTCATGAACTTCCATCCCCAAACACCTGTCAATTCACCAGGGACCTTTTTTCCATTGCCTGTTACTCATAATAAACACATAGATGCCCTTATAAACTACACAACTAAAATCTGCCTATTTTCCATGACACACCAGCCAGGAACTCACTGCCCCAGTTACCATCTATTATTTCCTGATAAGATCAGTAGCCATACCTACTGTTGAAGTATTTGTTTGTCTTATGAATGGGTGTCATGAAATTTAATTACACCACCTTATCCACAGTCGTTGAAAAATTTAAGTCACACCTTCACATGCATAGAGTATTAGTTGTTCCAAAATTAAACAATGCAAGAATCTAAAGTAAACCACAGATTTATGTTTTTTCCACCCATGATCTAGTTTTTCTCACTTGACTGGTTCTGGCTTCCTGCCACGCCCCCCCCCCCCCGGGTTTTCCTATCCGATTTTTCTGTTGTTTTTTCCTGCTGGATACCTTTATACATGCATTTCATCAAGGTAAATGCCAGGCTGCTGGCAGCTCAGCTAGGATTTGTGGCCTCTGTTGAAATCAGTTTATCTAGTTCAGTGGCATGCCACAAGCACTAAGCCCACACTTCTTCACAGGGGAATCCAATTGTCCACCAGATGAAGACACATTCTGTTACCTACAAGCAGCATGACAACCTTTACCTCTCCCCAAGTCCGGGAACTAATGATAAAATTCAGTTTTGATTTTGGAACATTTCTGTCTTCCCTATGCAGATCTCAGAGTGTGGATCATCTCCTAAGAACATGATGATATAGCGGACAGCCATCAAAGTCAGTGTCACAGAAGCGACTGGGCCACCTAACTGTGTGTGACTGTGGACCTCTGGATATTTCTCAGCTTCAGTTTTTCTCACTGGGAAATGAGGATCAGAATCTTTCCCTTTTAGAGTGCTTGGAAGATTAGTAGAACATAAAGCAACTTTCACATGGGGATGCACAAGAGCTACTGACCTGAGCAAGTGGGACCCCAGACTGACAGTTCAGAAAGCAGCAAAGTACCAATCCAGGGCCCCTGAACATAGGTGTCAGTTGGGGGGCCTGGGCAGTCTATGGGGCCTCTGGCAGTAGAAACAGTATTTATCCCTAGTGCACAAATGGGCTTTGGGAGCCCATTCCCTATGGAGGGATACCCTCTCAGCCTAGATACATAGGGGAGCACCTAGGCCCTGCCCCAAATGATGTGACAGACTTTGATGATCCCCCATGGGAAGCCTCACCCTCTCTGAGGAGTGGATGTGGGGGGGTTGGTGGGGAGGATGGTAGAATGGGAAGGAGAGGGAAATTGGATTGGTATGTAAAATATGATTGCTTTTAATTTAAATAAAAGTTATTTTAAAAAAAGAGTCTATTTCACGTTATATAGGAGATAGACTCTGATCCAGAAGTTTGCTTCTAAGTGTATAGATGCAAAGACCAAGTTAGACATGTGCATACCTTTATTCCTAGGAACATTGCTCACAACAAAACAAAGAGATGGATGCAGCTGAAGTCTCCGCCAATGGGTGAAATACACTGAATTATAAATACAATAATACATATTGTATATGAACACAACAGAGTAGCATCCAGTCCTGCAAAGGAAGAAAATTCTAAAACATTCTATAAGGCGGATGAAATCTGGAAACATTATGCTAAATGAATAGGCTAGTCACAAAATTTTTCTATAGTATGACGTAGAATGGTCAAAATTATACTGAAAGTACTTGAGATTGCTTCAGACTTAGGAGAAAAAATGAAGAGGAAGCTAAGCATGGGCACAGAATTCAGTTTGGGAAGATAAACTACTACCAGAGGTAAGTCATGGTTACAGCCGCACAGCAGTGTGAATGCTCTCCACACCACAGAACTGATGCTTCAGAGAAGTTAAAAAGGTTCCTCTGCAGCTCCAACCTCGCTCCCCACATGGTACTGCTAGGGCTGAATGTCTGTGTCAGGCGACATTTAGAAGAAGACTGGGTTAAAATGAATAACTTGGCTTGGTCCAGGATAAAAGCAAGTACCACAAATCACCAGATGTCAGCTGACGTGAGGTATATTTTTTCATACTGTTCATGTCTAGACAGAGACACACACACTAACCTATCAGCATGTACACATGTATCACAAAATAAGAGCATCATACTGCTCTGGCTTATGGTTGTCTGGAGTCTTTTCAACAAGTTTGGCATGGCCAAACTCCTCAAAGATCAAGTGGAGATTACTGGGGATGAACACAGTGCATTATCAGACAGCACTGATGGTCAGACTGGTGCCTTCATCTGCATTTGGATGCAGCCTTGCCAGAGCTGCTACTGCTAATTAAGTTTTGGGGTCCTTGAAGAGAGCTGCAGTTAGATGCTTGTCCATGACACTGAAGAGTTCCCTGGTTACAATTAGGAAAACCAAGAATTGAATGCAGATTTCTTAGGACATGAGCATGATAGATGCTGCCTCATGGAAAAAGGCAAAGACACTTCAAGAAACAATTCTTTCAGCACATAGAGGACAGTGCAGGCCCAGACACGAAGATGTATAAAGGAGCTCGCAAGGCTTCCAAAAGAGAATCCAGTCTACGGCATCCCCAGGGAGAAGTCAATAGAGATGAGACAGGCCTTCCCCAAATGTCCCTTGTTTGGAAGAAAGATCATGTACCACAAAGGAAGGCCAACTCTCCTAGGGCTTGGCTGCAGCTTCTGAGAAAGGAGCAGCTGCCTTCCTTCTTTCTTCCCTTCCAGACATGTTCTCACTATGAAACTCAACCTAGCTAGCCTCAAACTTAAAGCCATTCTCCTGCCTCAACCTTATAAGTATTGGGATTATGAAAGCCCATCACCAATTGTCAAACAATTGTCTATAAAGATTTTCATATAAAAACAAATTACTGTCAAAGAATCTAAAAGAGGAAAAATGTTAAATTGCATGCTGTCTATATTTTACTATAATAAAATAGATACATATACACACAAACATATATAATTCATTTTTGTAATTCATACACATATTAAACATTGAAAGGCTATAAGCTAGGGTTACCAGGCCCTTGTGAAACTTGAATAGGGAAGTTACACTTTTTCTTTATTCTTTCTATTTTCCTATATTTTGCAATGTCTCTACTACAAACCTATCACTCTATAGTCAAGGAAGAAATGTGCTGGTTAGCTGATATGCATGAGATTCATAGCAGGGACTGCCTTCTTTTCAAGATATGCCCTCAGTTTTCACAAGGCAATTCCAGCCTTGCGGTCATCATAAAAGCCTCTAACTCACACGCAGACACTGCT